TGTATATGCGCATGCTAACGTCTGCATAAATTACCTTCAACTTAATTTTAACCGACGATGGCGTCTATCTACTTTTCAAAATGTGGATACTGGGACTTACACTAAGTTAAATCTTTAAAACTGTAAATATTTATAGCTGTTTCACGCCCCTGTCCGTAATCCCCACCGTCCATAATGCTTCTCCTTTTTAACCCTGAAAGTTTTATTTTTTTCTCTCCTTTCACAATTAAATAGATAACTTGCCCTTTGCAGGCCCCCATCTTTGTAACCGCCTTCTATACTAATCCAAATGGGAGTAGAAGATCCACATGCATCAACGAGCAACCTTCTTCTTCCAATGTGTCACTTAGTCCACAAGTATATGAACGATCTTGTCTTGGTGACTTTAGTTCTCTGACCGGTACGATGTTTCTGGCCTACGGAGGATTTCTGTTGCCTTGACTTCTGGACAGACGCGACATGTCTACTCGGAGCATCATGCATGTATTTTCTTTCCTGGTTTCATTGTCCCTTCATTAAAGGTTTTAGAGGTAGACATTTTCTGGGATTTGGAGTTATCCGCCTGATAGTCAGGGATCCGAACCTTCGAGTAACTCCGAAGCAGGCTATCCTATCTGTAGATGTATAATATTGGAACTACTGTACTGCCATTCTATGAATAGTTTCTGAAGCGTGCAGTAGTCTCCAGTGGAGCAACTCGATGCCATGATGAAGGATACTGCTACTGCTGTATATCTGGACGACTCTTTCCATGTTATCTATACATGCAACTTTTACGCGTCTGTGTCTCTAACTACCAGTTTTCCAAAAACATATGAAACCAATAAAAGTACAAATGAATAAAATTAACAAATCCAACCCTAAAAAAAAGTAGACCCCTGCTACACCAACGTGAGGAGTCTACGTTCCAAGTACAACACTATCTTCTCCAATCTAAATCAGACCTCCTACTTTTTGAAACCGGTATCAACGCCACATGCGCACTAAGTGAGTTCTCCGTCTCGGGCTGCTCAACCCTAATAGCCAAACAGGACCACGTAAATCGTCACGGCGTCAAATTTGGTGCCTACATCAAGAAAGAGTTTCCCTGCGACAGGGACTCAAGAAACAAAGGCCCCGATCTTCCGCATAGGCGCTTTCGCATGGCACTTATCCATAATACCACGTTGGTTTTTGCTCTCTACCGGCCTCAGCATGAAGGGACTGTAATCTTTGACCAAATATCTGAGAAGATTTACAATATCCTTACTCAATTCACCTCGGCCAGGTTTCATATCTGCGGTGACTACTATATCGACCACAAGCATTGGCTAGTCTACTCCAAGAAAACCGATGCAGGTATTGCAAAGAGTTCTCCATCGCCTATGAACTAACCCAAATCATCGGGCAATCTACCTGGGTCCCGGACACGACGGGTCATGAGGCCAACCTTCGCCTCCATCTTTGCCTCTAATTCAACGTTAGATGAAAAGACCATCTCTTCTCACTGAGAAAAATCACAGTAATATGAGCACAACAATTCGAACAATGTACGTAGTGTAGATAATTACAATAACATATCTCAGAAAGAAAGCACGCGTGGTATCTAGAATTATCAAAGGCCTTGACCCCAAGAAAGCCGCTGGTCCAGACAAAATTGAGATGGTAATCCTTAAGAACATCAAGCCGGAACTCTCCCCAATCCTAGCAAAATTTTTCAACCGATTCTTAAAAGAGAAATCCTTTCCAAACCTGAGAAAATGTCAAGCGTATAATCAGTCTTCAAAAATGCAGAAGTGCGATCTTCCACCACCCAGTACAGACCCAGTTTCCTCAGTATCATTAGCAAGATCTTTGAGGCTATAATCAATAAGAAGGTCGTCAAGTAACCAGAAAAGAAAAACAAACTCCTCAACGACGAGCAGTATGGGTTTCAGTCGGCTGGATCCACTGCCGATGTCCTAACTACCATCACTCACCGAATCAGTGAGGCTCTTGACGACAAACACACCTCGCGGACCATAGCACTAGATATATCAAAAGCCTTCGAGAAGGTATGGCACAAAGGCTTACTACACAAGCTCACCAGATGGAATCACTGGAAGGGACTTTTCGATCATAAAATCCTTCCTAACAGGTCGGCCCCTGAAGGTAGTTATTAATGGCCACTCTTCCGGAGGCCTAGAGGTCAACGCGGACCTCACATGGGTCTCTCTTTGGACCAACATAAAAATCTGCTTAAGAATATACTCAGATTATTTGTAAACAGTTATGCCGATCATTTGACTATGTAGGCGGTGGTCAGAGATTGGCGACTGAACCCTATTTCGATCTTACACACACTACTCAATGGGGCAAAAACTGGCTGGTTACATTCAATGCTTCGAAGGCCAAGCTAGTTACATTCAATCATGGCCGATCTGACCCCGAACTACAATCAAACTTGATGAACAGTAGTTCGCTCGGGGATGTACCCTGCCTCAAAGCCAACCTCAACCTCGTACATACGATCCATTACTAAGGATACAAATAAAATGGTTGGTCCCCTGCACCGCTTCAGTAAGTACGTGTCGCCTCCTGGACTCCTCTACCTTTAAAAGATCCAGGTCTGCAATAAATAGAGTACTGTTGCCTTATTTTGGCGGGAGCTGCCTAGAGCGCATTCTTCTGCTTTGATAGAATGCAAAATCGTTTTTGATCCCTTTTGGGTGGATAACTATTCTCCACCACAGACTGGATATAGCAAGCCTCTCGCTGCTCTACAGCTATCTCCACTGAAAGTGCTCGGTCGAACTACATACCCCGGTCCCGCTGATTCAAACCTTCATACCAAGAATACGCTATTCCACTTACATAGTAGCGAATCACCCACATTCCCCCCGCATCACATTGGTGAGACCACTCAAACAGCTTCTTCCTGCGAACCACCACCTTGTAGAACCGACTCCTAACATGATTTTTCTCTGATTAATACAATCTTAACCTGTTCAAGGCTTGGGTAAACCATTGTCATCCACCCGTATACACACACAAATCGCCTCCAAACGTAGCCCTCTAACTCGAGTGGCCTTCGAGCCTTGTAATAAATCCATAATGCAACGTCCCCGGTAGAAAACGAAAAAATAACAAAGTAATATTTATATCCCTTGCTATGCAAGCTACGGATCAGGTGCTAAAAGAAGATTAAATATAGATTTATCCATCTGAAAAGGTGGTAAAAAGGATAAAGGCGTTATAGAGCACAAGACAGAAGATCAATCTCTTTATATAGCTCATCAGCAGTTTCCTGTTTCCAGTCATTTTTCTTTCCATTTTCATCTACTTATGCTCTACCCTTACCTCTCATAATAGTTTCAGTTTGGCCCCGTTTCAGTGGAAATTAAGTTAAAGACTAAATTTTGTGCGTGTGTTACTCTGCAGAGCGTAAATATATTATACTGAAGTTTTATAGAAGTACCGGAAACCGACAATTTGATCAAAGTCAGAGCGCACAGATACTCTGATCCGAGGCAGAAAAGCTGATTCCTAGGTAGATAAATCCGACATGTTTTAAGGGATTATTATAATAATAATAGCAATAACAAAGATTCTGATATTCATACGGATCTGTCAAACCAAGCTATAAAACCAATGCTCATAATCGCGTACCAAAAGCTAAATTTTTCATTTCGTGGATGTCGTTGTCTCAGCAAATCACGGATTAAAACCGAAAGAAAAGAATCAGATCTGAATTTATTTAGACCTTGCTTGAGAAGTGAAAAAAAAATTAAAACATACAGTGTTATATTAGATAATATTGGAGCATTTGGAAGAATATCTGGAAAGAGAATGGAAGAAATGGAAATATACTGAATAATAGAAACTACACAGACGACAGTATTACTAAAAGCAGCGAGAATACTGAAGCGAGTACTGGAGAATTGTGAAGATATTGTGAAGACATGCAGCCTCCATTGAAATGCACCAGTTGGCACAAATAATATCTTATCCTTGCCAGAGAAACGAAAATATGTGGAATATGATGATCGCATGTGACCGTTCTTAAGAGCTTTGGGAAAAATATGAGTGGAAAAATTAGAAGAAGAAAAACTATTCAGGAAAGCGCATTAGACAAGGAGAATGATGCAGTATCGAGAAGGTTTCTCTTATTTAGTCGCCATTGAAATGAACCATTTACTACTTATGCGAAACCACAATCAGTGTAAATAGAAAGATGAATATAATAATCTATCGTAACAGAAATCTAAGAACACGACAAAGTAGAGAGCTACGCAGTAAGAAAAGTTCAATGAACCAGGTCCCAACCAATGTAAAAAAAAATGTTTTCATCGCATACCGAAGATTGTCCTAGAACTTAAACCTACTTTGAGGTATTGAAAAAAGAAACAGCCACTGCATATAAGCAAACAAATGGACAAGCTGTAGACAAGGTAAAGAGCACCTGTCAGACCGTTTAAGTGGCTGTTCCAGTTCTTCACAGAGAGAAAACGAAAGAAATTAAATAAGATAAAAAAAAACTATTAGAACCTTGTCTGAGAAGTAAGAGAAATTCAAAACATCAATTTTAGCGTAGTAGTTCTCTTATTTAGTGTAATAAGAGCCACAAGAGAAACTACAGATTAAATGTTAGATAAATAACATAAATATTTGAAGAATAATTGTGAAGCCATTGTTGAGGCGTGTGAGAACTCTAATAGTTCTACTAGTGTCCGGCGATAACCAATAAACACATGTAGTGAAATCAATAACTATGACGGTGATAACAGATTAAATATTTTCCTTGAAATAAAAGAAGACTTAGAGAATATATTTCTAGTATGAAAGCCGTTTTTTTTTGTTTTTTTTCAAAGAAAAATATAATGTTGTGGAAGTGGTTGTGGAATCGGAATAATGTAAAATATGAAAACGGAGATTTTGTCCAAATAAATATCAGACATTTACTAGTGATGTCTACCTTATTGGGAAATTTTCCAAAGATTTTAAAGGCTAAGAGCGGTTTGAAAACGTCCACACACTGAGTGTCATTGACTCGGCAAACATTTTGAAGAGGGTCTTGACTTCAGGAGAAACACGCTCTTATTTCGAAAGAAAGAAAGAAAGAAAGAAAGAAAGAAAGAAAGAAAGAAAACAAGGAATAAGATAAAGGAAAAGAAAAATATAGGAAAAGGATGAGAAGAAGAAGAATGCAAAAAAGAAGAAAACAAAGAAAGAGAATACAAAGAAAGAGTAGAAGAGGAAGAATACAAGAAGGAGAAGAAAAATACAAAGAAGAAGAAAAGGAGAAGAAAGAAGAAGAAAAATTCAAAGAAGAAGAAGAATACAAAAAAAAAGAAGGGTAAGAAGGAGAAGAAGAGGACTACAAAGACGAAGAAGATGATCAAAATAATAATAAGGAGTATAAGACGACGATGACGATGACAAAAAAAAAAAACGGCGACAAAGAAGACAAGGCAGAATAATGATGACGAAGCAGAATGAAGACATCGACAGAGAGAAAGAAGACGACAGAGAGAAAGAAGGCGACAGAGAGAAAGAAGACGACAGAGAGAAAGAAGACGATAGAGAGAAAGAAGGCGACAGAGAGAAAGAAGACGATAGAGAGAAAGAAGACGATAGAGAGAAAGAAGGCGACAGAGAGAAAGAAGACGATAGAGAGAAAGAAGACGATAGAGAGAAAGAAGGCGACAGGGAGAAAGAAGACGATAGAGAGAAAGAAGGCGACAGAGAGAAAGAAGGCGATAGAGAGAAAGAAGGCGACAGAGAGAAAGAAGGCGATAGAGATAAAGAAGACGACAGAGAGAAAGAAGGCGACAGAGAGAAAGAAGGCGACAGAGATAAAGAAGACGATAGAGAGAAAGAAGGCGACAGAGATAAAGAAGGCGACAGAGAGAAAGAAGACGACAGAGAGAAAGAAGACGATAGAGAGAAAGAAGGCGACAGAGAGAAAGAAGACGATAGAGAGAAAGAAGGCGACAGAGATAAAGAAGACGATAGAGAGAAAAGAAGGCGACAGAGAGAAAGAAGACGATAGAGAAAGAAGGCGACAGAGAGAAAGAAGACGATAGAGAGAAAGAAGTCGACAGAGAGAAAGAAGACGATAGAGAGAAAGAAGGCGACAGAGAGAAAGAAGACGATAGAGAGAAAGAAGACGACACAGATAAAGAAGACGATAGAGAGAAAGAAGGCGACAGAGAGAAAGAAGACGATAGAGAGAAAGAAGACGATAGAGGGAAAGGCGACAGAGAGAAAGAAGACGACAGAGAGAAAGAAGGCGACAGAGAGAAAGAAGACGATAGAGAGAAAGAAGGCGACAGAGAGAAAGAAGACGATAGAGAGAAAGAAGGCGACAGAGATAAAGAAGACGATAGAGAGAAAGAAGGCGACAGAGAGAAAGAAGACGATAGAGAGAAAGAAGGCGACAGAGAGAAAGAAGACGATAGAGAGAAAGAAGGCGACAGAGAGAAAGAAGACGATAGAGAGAAAGAAGGCGACAGAGAGAAAGAAGACGATAGAGAGAAAGAAGACGACACAGATAAAGAAGACGATAGAGAGAAAGAAGGCGACAGAGAGAAAGAAGACGATAGAGAGAAAGAAGACGATAGAGGGAAAGAAGGCGACAGAGAGAAAGAAGACGACAGAGAGAAAGAAGGCGACAGAGAGAAAGAAGACGATAGAGAGAAAGAAGGCGACAGAGAGAAAGAAGACGATAGAGAGAAAGAAGGCGACAGAGAGAAAGAAGACGATAGAGAGAAAGAAGGCGACAGAGAGAAAGAAGACGATAGAGAGAAAGAAGGCGACAGAGAGAAAGAAGACGATAGAGAGAAAGAAGGCGACAGAGAGAAAGAAGGCTATAGAGAGAAAGAAGGCGACAGAGAGAAAGAAGACGATAGAGAGAAAGAAGGCGACAAAGAAAGAAGACAGCAAAATGTAGAGGACAAAAAAAGAAGTTAACGGAAAATATTACTCCGTGTCGTACTAAAAGGATGTCAATGTATTTTGGTGAACACGAAATAAATTTAATAAGTGTTTGTCCCAAGTAACACGTATTTGAATACTGTTCTTTCAAAATTGGTGTATGCCTCCGCAAAAGTCTTCTTCCTCTGCATCGTGATTTTGGAATTATCACCCCCTGAGGATTTACAGGCGGTGCGAAATTACAAACTCTTTCTCGACGACTTTTTATAGCAAAAAGACGTATTTTTTCGTTTCTGCAAAATGTGAGTAATCAACTACAGGCACTTAAAATTTCTTTGAACTTTTCACATTTCAATTCTCATCTTTTCTTTTGTAAAATTTCTTGACAATATATTCGCTATTATTTCTTTGTTCAAATTCAATGTCTTATTATTTCTTTGGATTTATATGAATCCACCAAAATTGTTAGCAGGTCAAATTTACGATGGAAAATATAACTTCTCATCAAAAGTGTTTATACCGCTACACGTGAAATCATTGTTACACCTGAAAATCTCGAGATTTGATATATATTCGTTTTATGTAATTGTTCGTGGTGTTCTTCTTGAAAATTAAAAACTAAATACGCTGTTATTTCCCTGGGAAATTTGGGTACCATTTAATGAATTGTTTCATTTCCAAAGTTCTGGCCTCATTACCAGATATCTAAGTTGTGTACGTATTTTCCTTCTACCTACCTGTAGATACAAATAAGGAAAAGGAAAATACCCATATTACAAAAGATGTTTGGAGATGTTAAAGCTTCAGCGATGTTATTTTTCCTATTTTTAGACGAGCATTACATGTCGGCCATTTTTATCACAAACTTTTCTTGATGAATAAAAGAGAATATCAAAAACTGAAACTAAATATTATAGTTATAACGTCCTGTCCTTGTTTTGCATAAGTTTCGGTTCTAGCAAAATAAACGTTATATGTCAAGGCACAGATTTTACATTTGAGAGCTGGCACATTAAAAATGTTTCCCACAAATTGAGAAATATTTAAAATAATAATAATAAAGTTATTAATAATTTTAGGGCAGTACTTAATTAACTCTTAATTGTTAGTGGTTTTTTAATCATCTTTATTTTAGTCATTCGTTCTACTTAAATGAGGAGAAAACGTGGATTGGAAGTAAGGTTCTCATTGATATTCCAGTTCCCATTCCTTTTACTTATTTAGCGATAAAACAAAATCAAGTGAAAAGGAAGAAGATTGAATTGTATTTTATGGGTTGTCAACCTCTTGTGGGTTATTTAAAAACAAAATATATCTTAATTGTATTAACTATTCGATTTTTTTATAAGTGAACATTGCTTTAGTTTCTTTGAGAAAAAAAATTGTTTTTTCCATATACATGTACTATTCATCCCATAGCTGGATGGGAAGATGAATTTAGCTGAAAATGAATCCAAATAAAAATTATTAATAATGATAAACTATGTTGCATCTAAAACAGAATTCAGATGAAAGTCACTACACGGCAAAAATAATGAAAGTCAATACACTACATAATGATAAAACTCAGTAATACTTGATCTAAGAAAAAGGAAGATCAAATTAAATATTAAGTAAAACAGATCAATGGCAATGTTTAACTGTGCATCTTCTAAGAAAAATGATCTAAAATAACATTTCTGGTAAAATAATCTTATTATTAAAGCCATTTTGCCTTTATATAAGGCTCTGAAATAATATACTTTATCGGGAAATTTGAATGTATTTCCACCGCACAATGTAATGCCATTATGGCAAGCGATAAACCGAGAATATTTTACATCATTCAATATCGTGAAAGGATTTTGGCAAAAGCACTTCAAGAAAACTCAGAAGAAAATCAAATTTCATATACAGAATTTTGGAAAATAAAATAAAACCGGTAACTGAAAATATTATATTTTCATAGCAGGAGTTTATTTGCAATAACGCGCAAGCGTTTTGAAGACTTATGTCCTGTTAGGCAAATGATTTTCTTGGCTTCAGTTTCCCAACCACTCGACAAACATTCTATTGAAAATAGCCTAGCTTTCAACGTGAATGCAAATAAGAAAGTGTGCTAGATTTGCTCAATTCGAATCTCGGAATATCAAATAAAAATGACCAGAAAATCGAGACGTAACATACTTTGGAAGAAACGGAAAAGAAAATAGGTTTAAACAGTAAGTGAGGCGGTTAAAGAATTTGAAAGAAAACTTAAACTTGGAGAAGACGCTAAAAATGCTGATCTAAATGTTAGTTGTAATATCAGAAAAGGCATCGGAATTAGCAGAAATGTTATGAAAATATAAAATGCAATCAATAATTATATAAAGCGGATGGGTGGTCAATGTAATGGTTTATGGCGAGAAAAGTAGAAACGGTGAGATGATTTCAAATTCACGCCTAGTCTGTGGCTTTCACTTTCGCACTAATTGTCTGAAGAAACGCATAAAACCATCTCTTCTCACACTAGTTATGACCTATATAGTAAGATAGATTCTACGCTCTAGCTTGACATTAGTATAGGACTACTAATCTGCAGGAACATCTGCGTGCATTAGGGATTAAAGTAACCAAGCGTACAATAAGTAATGAACTACACAAAAACAGTCTGAAATCCCGCATCCTAAGGAAAACTCCACTCCTCTTGAAACGAAACAGAGATGCTAGGCTAAAATTCATTAGAGAGCATAAGGATAAAGAATATTCGTTTTGGGAAAAAGTACTATGGACAGATGAAACTAAAATAGAGTTGTTTGGTCATAATTATCGAAATCATGTGTGGAGGAAGGACGGTGAAGCCTACTTACTAAAGAACACGTTGCCAACTATAAAGTTTGGTGATGGCAGTTTTATGAGCTGGGGCTGTTTTTCTGCAAAACGTGTTGGCAGAATATCAATAATAGATGGCAAGATGAATGCCGAAAGATACCAGAAAATCCTGCAAAACAATTTAATGCGTTTTGTTGAGAGATTTCGGCTACCTCCTGATTGGGTTTTCCAACTGGATAATGATCCTAAGCATACCTCTAGATTTACAAGGAAATGGTTAGCTGAAAGTAACGTTGATGTCTTGCAATGGCCAAGTCAGTCTCCAGACCTGAACCCAATCGAGAATTTATGGCGATATTTGAAAATTCAAATTGAGAAAAGAACACAAAAAATATCAAGAATTTGAAGACAATATGCCAAGAAGAATGGGCCAAAATACCACTGAATCATTAGTTGAGGTGTACAGGAACAGACTGGTAGCTGGTTTATTCAACTCAATAAAGGATATTCAACAATGTATTAAATTAAGTTAATATGCTTTTTTTTGTACGAATACTTTTTTCATCAGTTAAAATGAAAAAAAAAATGCATTAATTTCTGTTAGAATAAGAATTAAGTTTATTACTATTTTTTAATAAAATGTATCTTTACACATAAAACGTATCAGAATTTGTTTTAGTTAAGGCTTTTACATTTATAAAAATACAATTTTTCAAGTGTACGAATATTTATTTCCCCCCAGTGTATATTGTTCCAGGATCATTTTCCAATTTATTCAAGATTAGCTTCGCCCTCTCTAACCTCCTAACTTTCTGGATTGATCTTTTCTAATAGATCTCTTTAGCTCTAAGTTGAAAAGATGACCCCTTTTCCTGTTGTGACCTCTTGATTCAATTCTCCATTCTGCTGTTCCTTCTCTTTTAACCTTATTCACCGTTCTTTTGATGGTTCTTGAATGGATTTGAAGATGAAAACCAGAGTCTGAATGTTGATACCTGGAGGCCCGAATGATCTTTTTCCTCTCACCGTTCTACCTGTTTTCTATCTAGATGAATAACTCAAAGGGTTTTTTAGTGATTCTTACGATAAATGGTGTCAAGATGTCTAAGCGTCTCATTTGAAAACGTGGAAAAAAGTAAAACTTCATTACTTTAGTGTTTTTTTTTTAAATATTAAACATTATGTAGGATGAACAATGACGCGATCTGGACAATTTTGCTGTTAAACACGGTATAAAAGGTGGTTGGCATTACGCGGAGCATAAGGCCTAAGTTCCCTAAGTTCTATTACAAGTTCCTACCTGATAAATCCTATTTAATGCCAAAAGCAAACGGATCGGATTAACACTCATTATTTGTTGTAAGTGCGTGTAAGATATATTATGATGTATAAACATTACATAACAAACTACTGGCAGGAATTTGAATGACAAAATCAAAAATATGTAATGCGTTCTAGCCTTAAATTATTTTAGCCTTGGGTTACAGCCTGTCTAAACTTAGATAAATTCTGAACTTTGGAAGAGGAAACTAACTCTATCTTTTCGAAAACGTTGTGACAATTCACAGCTAATAAAATAAAGAATTCCGTGGACATCCTTGATCACTGACGTCCTGCAGGCACATGACATTAAAAAAACCTAGAGACAATTCTATGACAACTAAAATCTAAGTTTATACACTTAACTAAAGGCAAACATTTTTGGAAGAAATATTAAAATTAATGATGTATTTGAGAAATGAATGAACAATATAGAAATTAGTTTTCTAAGCCGGACTGTTCTATTCGTCTGATTGTTGCGATTTTAAATGTCTCGTTTCGCGATCTGAAAAGTGGGTTGATTCATTGTAATTTTAGTAAGTGATTGTAATAAATGACTTACAGCGAATTGGCCTTACGTGTGTAAAACTGTATAATGCTCTGTTTACCTTTATTACAAAAACACATCAGGAGCTTAAATATTGAAAACGAAAATTAAGAACGGAAATTGTTTTCACAAAATTATGGACAGCTTCCAAACTATTGAGATCGGATCAAATCTTTAACAGGAAAAGAAATAAAATAAGCACCCAAAAGCGTCGTCTACCAAATTAGCTCCTTCTAGCATCATCCAGTTCAATTAAACATCGCTACTTATTTTTTTAAAGATAAGGGAATAAATTTAATCAACGGAACAAAGAATAAATAAATGATTATTACTGACTGTCCGCGCCTTAAAGATGACGTCCATAATATATAAGGAGATGTATATAAGGAGATACTGAAGGGTATGTAAGATAAAGGATACGTCAGGTTTGAAAATGGAATCGAATCAAAACACGAATGATACGACAACGTGGTAGCAAAAATTCAAAAAAATTGGCTAAAAAAATTAATATTTGATTAGAGAATTCAAAAACTCTAAACCAAATCTTGAAGGCGAATTAATCCACACTTCTGAATATTCAATAAACTATCAAAAAGAATTAGAGATAAGATACTGCGTCTTCCCTAAAGACACTTGATAATCTTATAAAATAAAATAAGACATATCTCGGCTGATTTACAGGCAATTACTCAAGAGCGAGAACCGGATGTGAGCGGGACAAAGCCCCGTCACAAAATGACCATTATCTTTCTTTACAAATGTTCCCGACACACGTGTTCCGGTCGAAAAATAAAATAATATAATAGTGTTCTATTTTTCGTCCAATAAAAATGCTTCCCTCCTAATTATACTCGCTTCGTTTTCGAGCCTGTTAAGCCATAAAAAAAACTATAAAAGGGGTCACACGGAAGTTCAACAGCAGTCCACAGGTGGCCACAAAACAGACCTGTCACGGTCAGGCCGAGCGATCAGCAGCAGTGGAGCGTCAACCACCGTCAACATGTGTGAACTACTATGAGAGATTGACCTAGATCCGAAGCCGGCGTATGAACTTTACCACAAGGTAGCTGTCCCAAACCCACACGTTCCTGTTGAAATAAACCACGTAAATC